TCATCCTGAACTTGGAAAGTGTGTCCCTGGTGCGGATGACAACCCAGACGGTGGAAAATGCTGGACATTTTGCACTTCAGGATGTGAGAAAGGAGGCATCTGCAAACTATTTGGCAACCATCATCATTGCCATTGCTTTTGTTGATTTTCTTTCAACCCTATTCCTTAATATTATTAATTAGTTAGCATTTTTATCTAAGATTCTTAAGTTGGCTAGGTGGGGGGGCTCCTCCCCTACTAGACTGGATTGTCATCTTCAATTTCAAGCGTATGCACCCTTCTTTAGTTGAATAAAATTATTTTGGTTTTTTATCACTTCTGCGTGCTCAGGCTTTCCATTGCAATGTGCCGTCTTGGGTTCTTCACATAGATGTCCTCACAACTTTAATAATAGACATAACTTAAGAATCTTAGATAAAAATGACTCCAATATATGCGATCTGCCTTCATGGTTTATATTTAATTTATTTTAAAGCATGTCATTAGCTCCCTGATTTTTAGCACATTAATGTCTCCAATTTTTTGTTTGGTGTTCCCTCTAATCCCTAAAATTTCGACAAAATAAAAACCCTCGAATTTCGACCCAAAAAAATCCCTACAAATTTGACCAAAAAATATCCTTAAATCATTTTTTTCTTTTTTTTACCCAAGGTACATTATATATATATAAAATAAGTGCGTTACTTTGAAAAAATTATGTACACTTGTCCATGCATGCAAGCTATTAGGGTTTTTGTTATAAATTAAAGACATGTACATAATATTTTGAATAGTATAGATACTATTTTTATTAACTCACAATAATAGGTAAAATATAATTCATAAAAGATAATAGGTAGATTATTATTGATAAAAGTTTATAGGTACAATAAAAATTTAATAAGTATATTATCATTCGTTAAAAAGAAAATAAATAAATATAAAATATGGACACAATTATTCTCAAATTGAAAAAATCATTTAAACAAAAGACTTTTTCCTATTTTAAATTTGACAACAACAAAAAAGGAAGAAATGTACCTTTTTTCCCCAAAACATAGGAATTTTCTTAATAGATAAGAGTAGAGTCTAATTAGCCAAACGACACAAAGCCAAGAAGGGGTATTAAAATCCCAACGGAAACTGCCCTAACAAAGAAAAAAGGAAACAATTTGCCTAACAAATCTCTAAATTTATGTCAATTAAAAAGAGATTTTCTATTTAAACCTCACACTTCTCTTAGTTCACCCCATCTTTTAATTTAAATTTTCCCAATTTCTAAGAAAACCTCATTATCTTAGTCCCTGTGTTTTCAATTTGGCCAATTCAGATCCAATGTTTAGGACAGTTAGTCAATATTGTCCACTCCGTTAAATTTATTGTTAAATACACATAATAAACATCTTTGTGTCTTTTAAAAACCTATAAAACTTTTTAAAATTAATCTACAAATATTGAAGAAAAAAAATGTTGTCGGGGAAGGGAGGGTTTGCCCAGCGAATGGAGAGGTGAGAAAGAGAGTGATGAGCAGAGGGGCAAGACCAAGCGGGAGAGAAACAAACGAAACCAGAAACTAAAACAAGGAAAACCCCACAGGGCACTACCTACTGAAACATTCAAAAACATGAAGGTTGAGAGAGAGAGAGAGAGAGAGATAGTGAGGTGGATCGGAGTTGGGGTGGTGGGTTGTTGTTGGGAGAAAGAGAGAAGAGAGAAGAGTGGTGAATGGTGGCTGGTGGCTGGGATTGAAGGTGGTGGTGGCGGTTGGGATTAGAGTTGGGGTCTTTCCTTTTTTGATTTTTTGGTTTTTTAAGTTTTGCTCTTATTTGTTCAACTTTAAATTGTATTCAAATAGTTATTTTTTTAATTAATATTTAAATTTTTTAAATTTTTTGTTAAAATTGACAATATTAGCTAACGGTACTAAACACATGGACCGAATTGGCCAAATTGAAAACACAATGACTAAATTGGCCAACATGGTAAAACACAGGGACCATTTTTGTATTTAAGCTTAAAATGTAATTAGGGGTACATTTGGAATTTGAAAAGTATAATAAATCATATTTTAAGCTTGATTAGGTAACTTAATGAGTTGGATCCTAAGGTTTTACTTATAAAAATCATGTTTTATTTATAGAAATATAAGGTTATGGATTGCATGTAAGAAAAAAATTAGTTGAAGGGGAAAATTCAAATTTTAAAAAATATAAAAATAAAAATAAAAATACAAGCGATAATAGGGGAAAGGGAAATCAAATTGGCAAAAAATAAAAAAGAAGAGAGGAATCGAACATAAGATCTCAGGTGCAAAGATAAATGCTCTTAACCACTCGAACTACAAGCTCCTTACATCTGCCTCCTTTAAAATACGTAGCAATTAACAAGTTATTTGCTCCATTTTTCGGAAGACTTTCAAGATTTTGTGATAATTAAAGTTTTTTTGTTGTTGTCAAAATTAGGATAATTAAGTTGGTCAGCACTATTTTATTGCTTTCTTGATAAATAAATATTGATTATATATGGTACGACTAGGTACACATAAGTGGAGGCTTGAAATAAAATTAACCCAATATGAGTAAGTATATACTTCCACTATGTTATTGTAAGAGCATCTCCCCTCACTGAAAGTAAAATCATTTTTACATCTTGTTTATATCTCCGAGAAGTCTAAATAATGGTGGGATGTGAATATGGGGATGTATACTTTGGCAAGGGACATGCCCCAAAATTATGCGATACAGAGGTTTACAAGGGACGTGCCTCAGGAGAGAACCAAAAATAATAATAATAATAATCTAATGACAAACCTAACCAGGCTAAGCCTGGGTTAGTTGTTTGGTTCTTTTATTGGGCTTCTGGCCCTGTTGTGTACAGAAGAAATTGAGTCCAATAAGGGTTTAACAAATCCTTATTGGGCCTGTTATAAAGACTCATCCTTTCCGACCCAACCAAAAAAAAGAAGAAGAAAAAATTCAAGTCCTTACATACGAAAATCTATTCTGAACAAGTTTTTTTATTTATTATTTTAATACAAGCGATTGGGAGATTGGTGTTTGCATCAATTTGTGTTGACTCCTATTCCTTTCCAAAAGCAACCCTTTCTTCTTTTCATGCCCCACAGTTTTGAAGATCTTGGAGGACAACGGGACAAGCCCCATCTCCTCCTCAGCTTTTGATTCAAAATTCAAAATGTGGGGACTCAATTGTCGTCATCACCTGCATCATTCCAATTTCCAAATTCTAGCTCAAAGTTTCGTTTTGAATTTTTCCATCTACCTTCTCCAGTTATAGCTCAAAGTTTCGTTTTGAATTTTTCCATCTACCTTCTCTAGTTATGCACAAATGAAGGAATATCAATTGCTGAGTATTAACTCCAGAAAGTTGAGTATTAACTCCAGAAAGTTGAGAAATCTTGCAAGGACTTATAAGGTTTTCCGGTATAACGGTATAACGTGTCGTGTAAGGGACGGAATATGCCACATGCATGGATAAATATACTGAACATAAAATTATATTTATATTTCCTTTTGGCTGAATTGGAATTTTGACTCTGAAGAAGATAACTATTTTGGATAAGCGTGAGTGAGAGATTATGCCACATACAACGCAGAATAGAAACAACTACAAGTCTTGTACATAAATAAACCCTAAACCCTAAATAAATTAAAATGATCCAACAAGATCACCTTCAAACATTACAATAGGAGTGGAATTATTCAAGGATACATGATATATTCTAAAAGAAAAAGAGGACGGAGGGATCGCAGCAACACTCGTCAAGAAGGCAGCAGCAACACAGAGCAGCAAGACTGTCAACAAATCCAAACTTTCAAAATTAATTTTCTAACTGTAAAAATGACAGAGATGGCAGATGTATAGAGATGGATGAGGAAGTTTACCAGCCCTCAAGGAAGCCTGGTTCTCTCCTGGGTGGTGGAGCAGCATATTGTGGAGGTGCCATTACTGGAGGGCCTTGGTAATAACCTACAAGATTGGCCAACAAATAATTTAAAATTAAATTACAAAATAAACCAAAAAATAGAAAAGAAATATTTTTATTTTATTTTATTTTTTGAAAAAAGGTTAAGTAATAGGTACTTCTTCTTCTCATCATCCAAAACAGGGAAAAGTAATAATGAAAAGGGACTTGGTTTATTGGTGAGACAACTTTGAGTTCTCAACCAAGAATCCAATGAGCACACAGTAACATATATTATATACAGAAGCTTAATATTCTTCAAACTAAAATAATTTATTAATCAAATAATTAATCCATGTTCTCAAACTCATATACTTTACTGATGATGATCAACTACAAATTAAGAACAAGAAAAACCCAGAGAAAAATATCACACATAGCTATAAGTTAATTAATTTTAATTAGAGATAAATAGTACCTCCTTGACCTTGAGCAGGGTAGGGATAACCATACTTTGGGTCGCTCATCTCTGCTAATGAAACGGGGACAAACTCAAGCTTTTGGACTGAAACGAAGTGACAGATTTGAGGGGAAGGAAAACTGCGAGAGAGTGATGAGGAAAAGCAAATGGGGAAGGTTCTGGTTTTTATACTGATAATTAGAAGGTTCTGGTTTCAAACCAATTAAATATGAACACATATATTCATAAAATTGCATACATCACTTTTGATGCACTTTACTTTCTTTTCCACCCACTTAACATTCCTGCCTCACCTCTCCTTTCTTTTCTTTACAACCCACAGGATTTGATTCGGGCACTCCGCTTTTCTCTTTTCTTAGTTTTAGTTATGAATACTAGATATATTCCTCCTTGCAAATCACGTTTTAACACATGTTCATAAATAATTCATTACAAAATATAAAAAGAAAACTTTATGCACACGTATCATAATGTTATTGACATGAATATAGAAGTAAATGGGTAATTTTGATTGAACTCATATCAAATAAGTCACCAGAATTGATGAAAAGTTCACTTTCTTAGTAAGTATCTATATTTGAAAAAATTTCATTGGCGTAAGCTCTCATGTCATGTTCGGTGAGTGTGTACAAAGAAACTAGTAACACTGATTTAACGGAGGTATAAAGCTTTTTTTTTTCTTGTCGAAGAAAATGAATAACTAGAAACAAATTTCAAGAAGGACTGGGATGTAAATAACTTAGGTTCCGTTTGATAATCATTTCAATTTTAGTTTTTAGTTATCAATTTTTGTAATAGAAAGCCTAGAATATAGAGAAAAATGAGAGTGAGAATGGGAGTGATGATGAGATTGACAGAGAGGATGAGAGGGGAGGATAGGAGGGAGGAGAACCAAAGTGAAAACAAAAACTTGAAAGTGAAAACTATTTCAAATATATTTCAAGTTCAACTTTTAGTTTTGGTTTTCACTTTTATTATTTATCTCTCCCATTCTCCCTTCTCATCTTCCCTCTCAATCCCACTCCACTCTCATTCTCATTTTTTTCCCTCTTTTTTCTCCATACTATAGCACAAAAAATGAAAACTAAAAACTAAAATTGAAATGGTTATCAAAGGGACCCTTAGTTGTGATTCATTACATGTTCCATCACTTTGCGAAGAGCCACAAATATATTGGGGGTGCATGGGCTTAGTGGCTCCGTCACATAGGATCTAGAATTTAGAACCTCGATTGCATACGTAAATGTTTGTAACTATTTAAACTATAAGTCTCTTACTATTACTGTTTATATTATATTCTTAAACTAATTTGTACTTAGAAGCTATTATGTTTCTTTCTTTTTTTTTCTTTTTTTTGAGTTACAACTATATTCTATTATAAAGAGAAGGGGGAATTTTGAATTCAAATCCAGGCCAACTGGATGATAAAGAGGGGGGCAAACCAGCAAACCTATAGTCCACACGACGGCCTTTTTTCTTCTTCTTTGTTACAGTGGAAAGAAATTCAATTCCTCTCAAGCTTGGTATTTCTGTAATTAAGAAAGAAAACCTTCTCATTTCCGTAGAAGGTTACATATGGTGTAGATAACAACAAGAACATGTCTCACGTGGACTCGTGAAGGCCTGACAGAAGACACCTAGATATTCAACTGTTGACGTGTCAATTCTCATCAATTATATATGGCCATCAAGAACACAGTGGAGGGCCCAAATCAAAAGATATCCATTTTTCTTGCAAATTCTTTTTAAAGAGAAAATATGTTTGATGGAAGAAAAGTAATGAAAGCGGTCCTGCTACAAATAAAGTGGCCCTAGGGGCCACAATTGTGGAAATCAACCTTGATAAAATTCTCATTGAAGATGTACCATCATCACTCTTCTTAATATTTGATACGTGTCTATTGACATAACCATGATTGCATAAATACAAAATAAAGAGTTAACTATAGTTATACTAAGAGACATGTGTCAAATATTGAGAAGGGTAATGAGGGTACACCTTAGATTAAAGTGGTGAGCAAAAATATCCTCTTCATTTCACCATTCAATTCGCAAGGCATGCCTAGTAACCAATTTACCATGTATTAATTACCATTTTGAAACCTCAAGATGATAAATACAGGATATTATTCTTAATCACTTCATTATAGATGAATGAAGTTTTAGAGCATGAAAAAGCATATCCAAATATGTTCAAGTCCTTACTAACAAGGTTGGTTCAATTGGTAAGGTCTATGCACTGTGTGTAACCCCACCAATGTTCGAGTCTCGCTGCCAGCATCAGTCCTCGTTGGTGTGCAATCTGTAATTACCTAGATAAATCCATATTGGTGGCAGCTGGCAATTGGCTACCATGCGTAAATCCTTTCGACTCAAGATTGTGGATCTTTCCTAACACTGGTGGTAAGAGTAGCCAATCTCCTCCTAAACTTTGTTTGAACATATATATATATATCGTTACTCATTGTCATTTGTATAAAAAACAAAAAAGATTCATTTCTTTTGTACCTTTATGAAATCAAAATGCAAAAACAACAACTAAATCTTTTTAAAAAAATGTTAGAAAATGAGAGAATAATGTACATCAAGCAATCAACTTGAACAATTCCTCCAGAAGTAGTCCATATGTGAAAATACCCCAAGGCCTTTATACACCACATATTCTGATATGCTATATTATAGGGCAGGCTTTATTTGATTTGATGAGGGGAAGAATGTGAAGGAAATATTTTAATCCGAATTTAAAGGAATATAACATGTGAAATGACCCAATTGGGATGAATCGTTTATTCCCCTAGAAAAAGCCTGCTTTTTTGTTAAGGTTATTTTGACATGTCACACTCTCAGTAGTTTACTTTTTTTACGGTTGTCAAAATGCCAACGCGGTTTGCTATTCTGCTTTCGGCCACGCGTATTGAAATTTAAAAGAGAATGCTTTTGAGAGGAATAGGTTCTATCTCTCCATTTATTTGATGTATTAACAGAATCTCCCTGAAGGAACCAAATTAATCAAATTAATATGTGAGGTGTAACATAAATGACCAATATTGTCCAATAAAGATCAAAGGTGATAATTTTGCATTTCTTAAGGACCATTTGTGATAAAAACCCTTATTAATATTATATTTTAATACATCAATATATACATGCATGTCATCAATCGCATGTTATATTATATTATCGGCATGTCATGTGGTGTTACTATCATCACCTACAAAAATTTATTTGATTTTGGAAAAATCACTTTGTTAAGTTTGTAGGTTGAGAGGTTAAGTTTGTGCTCTGGCAATTCACACTTTGAAATTGAATTAGCCAAGTTGAGCAATGTGAAAGCATTTTCTTTTCTAATAGGAGAGCAAAGACATATTTTTCGAAATGATTATTAATTTATTAACTGGGGTAATTGCTGCAGACTTCATCCCAAAGCAATACTTACTAAACTGACTAACTAATCCATAGGCTTCTTGTGACGCAACCTTTTATTTTATGACCTTATATCCTCCAAATTGCATCATTCTACCAACTCCATTAGTTGAGGGGTCTTCATTTTCATTTAAGAATTTCCATCTCAATTCTTATCAATGGCTTTTGAATTATCAAATAATAATATAAAAAAATGACATGCTTATAGCCCAGTGACAAAGCATCTGTCACACAGCCATGGAGAAAAGTTCAATTTCATATCTGAATCTTATCTAGAAAATTTGCAGAAAATTGTTTCTAAATTCAAAATAAACATTTAGCTACTGACTGTATTTTATGGATATTTAGCAGTATCAGAGATCACTATGTTCAGAAAGCTTTAATTTCTGTAAAACAAAATGAATGATACATGTGCTTCAACAATCGTGTCACCTGTTTGACATAAATAGCATCAATTAATTTCAATTGAGACGATGTGTTCTATATCTCCTACCATTAACCTATGATCACCCAGTGGCAATATCCATTGCCCATAATCATTTGCAAAGCTAAAATGTGTGCAAGGATCAACTAGAATGCTTGTTGCAGTAGATTTGTACGAACCAGTATGCACACGTTTAAATCCAATCAGCTGTTGTTTCGGAGCACCCTTGACAACTTTTGTCATTCTGGAGAACAACATCACAGTATGGCCTCCATCCATGTCTCCTATATTCGTCACAGTGATTTCAACAAAAAATCTCAAGGAATCACAAGATTTCACCTCATCAATGTGTAAATAATCAAGTGTATCTCCTGCTTGGTGTAGTATGTTTCTGCTGGAATCAACCTTGAGAGGTCTTGATAACCTTAACTTTTTTGGCGCTGATATGATGTTGTAAGTGAACTTACTGTAGCTTAAGCCATCTCCAAATCCATACAGCCTGCTCCCTGTGTAAAATCGGTAGGTTCTTCCCGGATAACCTTGAGAAGGATCGGCCCTCATGTTCATATCATTCATCGGTATATTAGTGAATGACTCAGGATACCAAGTCATAGGTAGCCTTCCACCTATTCATAATCATATCAAGCGATCATGTTAAATTTTGCCTTTGAAAATTGAAGTGTATGTGTTTGGATGCCTAGCAGAAATAACATAACTCTGATGAGCATTTGCACAAAACACAACTCATAGCATTTGTGATGGGGCCTTCTTTCCATATCATGTTTCAATTTCACCTTTATGATTATATTTCAGGAAGTGACTCCATCCTAGAGTAGTACAATAAATAGAGGTGATTTCATTTCATGCAAAACATCAACTCCGTAATAGGAAACTCATGTTTTCCAATAACCTACCCGGATTGAAATCTCCAAAGAGGACTTCTGCTAGTGCTCTCCCGCCAGATTCCCCAGGGTACCCAATCCAAAGAATGCTTGCGATTCGCGGGTCTTCTTTGGCAAATGTCACATCAAGTGGTCCACCACCAGTAAGAACTAGAATCACTGGTTCTTTACTTGCAGCTGCCACAGAAGATACAAGGGCCATTTGTTTACCGGGTAAGAGAAGACTAACTCGGTCATGATCTTCTCTTTCTTGCGTCAAATCAAGACCAACAACTATAACAACAAAATCAGCCATCTTGACAGTATGAATTGCTTCACGGAACCCAGCACGAGACTTACATGGTACATCAAGGCAACCAGCTGCATACGATGCTCTTTTTGTGTACTCTTGAAGACCCTCAAAGAGACCCTTTGAGCTGCAGGGAATCCCTATACAACCAAAGCAAACCCTTTAGTTTAATGTGAAACGTCAGGAAAACTTGAAAAAAGGAAAAAAGATTTGGAAGCCAGAGTAGAAATGTTATTCTTTTCAA